AACGCATCTATGAACACCTACTGGCAGTCAGAAGACATGATGAAAATTGTTTAATTTCATAACATAGAGAGAGATTTAACCATAGTTTCAATTGGGAAAAGGCGACAATCCTAGACCAGGCCAAGTCCCAATATGCCAAGGGATTTCTAGAAACCTGACACTCTGACAAATCAGTCATCAATAGGCACTAACAACATCTATAGACTATGCAAAAGAGATAATTAAGCAGCCCCAAAGAAAAAAAAGACTCCATTATCTCTCTACCAGTAATCAGCATGCAGGTCAGTATAGATTAACTCCAAGATTAACTTCCAACCAACAATAAAGTAAGTAATACCCCAATCAAGAAACTGCCGCAGAACCATCAGTAAACATCCCAACCAAACAATCTCTAAGACCGCCCACACCCAAACAGATAGGCAAGGCACCAGAATATAAACTGACAGCAAACAGCACTCTAGGTAATACTGATGGTGTTACCTTGTTAGGATAATGAACCGTCTTCAAGAAAACAAGCAAGTTCAGAGAGCACCAAGGACCCCTCACAAAAAAAACTCTGGATAGTGGACGTGGTGGTACCTGGAGACAGCAGAATAGAAGCAATGGAGCTGGAGAAGATCACAAAATACAAAGATCTCCAAACAGAAATATGACAATTGTGGGCAAAAGAGAGCAAAGATAATAACAATAATAATGTGCACCTTGGGTGCATCCCAAAACAATCGGACACACAGTTGTTTTGGGATGCACCCAAGGCATTGACAAAATCGCCATCAGTCAGTTGTGAAAGGCAGCTTTATTCAGAACAGCTTACAACCTGCAATGATACCTCTTAACACCATCCTATATCCACATCTGCCTATCCCAGGTCCTTGGGAAGGACTTAGTAGGTGGATAAAAATCCCAAATCCAGTCTGAACATTTGGCTGACCATGCGATGGACCATAAGAATGAGGGCAGAGCTTGTGACGCTCTGATGGGGTTGAAAACTATACTGGCAGTAGTGTATTCTACCAGAAACAGCACTTAGCAGAAGAGCCAGACTAAAGGTAGCCATCAACCAATTTTGAGAGAAATGGACAGTCCAGAAATGCAAAGAGTAAAATAAAATAAAACCATTTACTAGAGGGAGAAAACTGAAAAAGAATCCTATATCAAATGAGTCATAATCCAGATCAACAAGAACTGCATCAGATGTTAGAGTTTCTGGGCATCTGTTGACATATGCACAATGGGATTTAAGAACTACAGTTGGGTAATCAGGGCCAAGCCCTGAAGGATTACTGGAAGAACAGCAGCCACAGACAAGACAAAAGTAGACTGTGTTTGAAAATCACTATTATAAATTGGAAGCAACAAAGCAAGAATAGTTAAAGTGAATGCTTGAATATTGGAAAAGAATTTAACCAGGCTCAAATGTCACTGAACAACGATTAGTAGACCAAAGGAGATTTATTACCAGAAATAAAATATTCAGGGATACAGAACTGGAAGAGATTCAGAAAAATTGTAAAAATGGAAAACTCCCAAAACAATAAGACAAGAACAATTGCAAATATAGAATATAATATAAGAAGTAATAACAACAGAGCCAATACAGACTAGTACTGAAACAACCTATTGATGCCACCATCCTCCTCAAAAAGTGCTGAAGAACAAAAAGAGAACATTATGGCATATGCAGAATTACTAGTAGAAAGACAAACACTGCCAGCATTGAATAATACCCAAAACAGAGCTGGCAGCTATAATGAAGGATGTGAATAAAGCAATTGCAAGGATTAAAATAACGTCTATTGAACAGATCAATCAGCTTGCCTACAGTACAACAGTGGTAGTTAGAGAAAAACTGGTTATCAAAATTAGAAAAGACTATATTGATTTGGTAGAAACACCATGAAATCCATCCATACCTGGGCCATACCTGTGATATGATATATTGCTGAAATTATTAACTGGACACAACTGCATTGAAAGCAAGAAAGCTAATGACTATTCACTATGAATTACATCCTCATAATTACATGGTTAGATTATACCTGCCCCATAGAAATGGAAGCAAGGGTTAACTTTAAGTCAAACTAACTGTTGAATAAGAAAAGCATGCACTGGCTGATTACAAAAAAGAAAGCCAAGAACAAGCATTGATGCAAGTTAAAAAAAAGGAACTTATCGAACACGCAGGAAACAAAACATGAATATTGAAAATAATCTAATAAAAACAAGAACAGAATGCTGGCAAGGAAAAGCATTACATGGTCAATTTCTACAAAAGATTTGAGGGGAACGTCGATAAAGATAAAAGCTGGCAATGACTTACAATTGGAACATTAAAAAAAGAAGGTCAAGGCTTGATTTTGGCTGCTCAAGACCAAGCTATTTAAACTAATGCAATCAAGGCCTAAACTGAAAAATTGTCAAATGATTCAAAATGCAGACAGAAGAAACAGTGTATCATATATCCAGCTCATGCAAGAAGAGTGCACAAATTGATTATAAACAATGACAGAACACAGTTGCCAATATTATTCACTGGAACATCTGTAAAAATTACTATGTGCCAGTAATGAAAAACTGGTCGGAACATATTATTGAAAAATAGTCAAAAATGAACAGGTTAAAATAATGTGGGAGTTCAGAATACAAACTAGTAAAGTCTTGGCTGAAAATACATCAGTTTTAACTGTGGTTGAAAAGAAGACAGTGTGGATAATTGATGTGGTAATATCAGGGGACAGTAGAACAGAATTTATTTATTTTTTTGGAAAAGATCACAAAGTATCAAAAGCTGAAAATTGAAATTAAAAGATTATGGTATAAACCAGCCATGGTGGTCCCAGGGTTATCAACATACTGGATGCCATACCAAAAAAATCTTGGACAGCAGTTTGAAAATATGCACATTGACAAAAATTTCCATTTTAAAATTATAAAAAGGCCACCCTGCTTGGATTGGCAGATATACTATAATTCAATAAAGCAATTTCTTGAGAAAGCTAAAAGTCTCAGCGTTGCTGAATTGGTTGTGCTCATTACTTGGAACCTTGACATTATGCTGATACGTTATGACATCCTAAATTCCTGGGAAGAACTCAATGCCAATTAAGGCCAACACCACTTAAAGAACTATAAAGCTATGATTTTGCATTTTTGTGTATATAACAATAGCTAAAAACAATGGCATGACAAAATAACAACCGTGTTGCATTGGGATATCTACAAGAAGTATCGTTTGCCTGAAACAAATAGATACCACAAAAAAAGGAAAGTAATACAAAATGAAGAAGCTAAAGTGATCTGCAACACAACACCCGAGATTTAACCACTCTTGGTCAGAAAGACAAAAAAGTGAATACTGTAGTAGTTGGAAAAAGGAGAAGAAAAGAGAAGAGAAGAGAAAGAACTGGAGAAGCTAACAAAATACAAAGACCTGCAAATAGAACAAAATGGCAAAAGAAAACGAAGATGATAGCAGTACTGATAGGTGCCTTGGGTGCAATTTCAAACATCTGAAGCAGCACTTGGATCCCATCAGCATTGACAAAATCACCATTGGTCAATTGCAAATGCAAACTTTATTTGGAACAGCTTACATCCTGCAAAAAATTATCTCTAACACCATGAAACATCCACATCTGAGCTGTGGTGGTGCAGTGGTTTTAGAGTGCAGTACTGCTGGCTACTTCTGCTTGACTGCTGGCTGCCTGCAATTTGGCAGTTCGAATCTCACCAGGCTCAAGGTTGACTCAGCCTTCCATCCTTCCGAGGTGGGTAAAATGAGGACCCAGATTGCTGGGGGCAATAGGCTGACTGTAAACCGCTTAGAGAGGGCTGTAAAAGCATTGTGAAGCGGTATATAAGTCTAAGTATGATTGCTATTGCTAACTGTCCCAAGTACAAAGACTCACTAGGAAGACAAAAATCCTGTCTGAATATCTGGGTGACTGTGCGATGAACCCAATAATGCTGCAAATATGACAGAGAAATATCAGTCTCCAATTCCATCCTACAAAGTAAAAATGCCCTATAACTAAAGTGGAAATGCTCACATTTTGGGGGGGAATGGGAGGGCAGAAATATCTTAGGGGGAGGAAGGATGGCAAAAAACAACATCACCAGCTTTTCTAAATGCGGTCTTCATAGCCACCACGGCATCCATTTTGAAAAGAGGCAAGTCTTTCCCTCAGTCATCTGTGAAAGTCTCCACAATATGCCCACCTGCCCAGCCAGATGGTGGACCTCCGACCTCGAGAACAGACTGAACAGTCACGCAGCTCACTTAGTCACAGTTTCCCCGCCCCACCCCCCCTCCTTGTTGTGAGATACAGTGTATTTTTACCTTTAAGTGCATAATGTTTACATAAACATCTCTATAAATTAGCACATGCAAATGTTATGCAAATGTTATGCAAATCTGTTGGCGTGAGTGATACATTTTTTGAATGCGTGAATGATATATTTCCTTTTTGGGAGGGTATGAAAATTTGCACAGCATGAAGGTATCTAGATCTCCCAGAGAATAAGGCTGGGTTTTTTTTATTCTGTATTTCCCAAAATGGCAGCCTTTAGATCAGTAGGGAGTGCAGTTCTGAGACTTTTCAGTCTCTCTCTAGCTAAACATTTGGGGAGTTGAAATCCCAATGAAAAAGCAGCCCTCGATATCTTTGTATCTCATTATCGTACTCTTGATGATTACAAGCTGAAAGTGAGCTGTGGAGCTCAGTGAGCCCAAAATTTCGCTCTGATACATGGAAATATAATTCTTACAGGTGGCCAGGGAGGAGAATGACCAGATATATTTTGCAATGCACACTTATATGCAAGAGTGCAACATCAAAAGGCATACTTGAGGGTTGGGGTTTTTTTTATAACATCACTGCAGTTCTGAACCAACACCTAGAATAATCTGTGTTCTCCCTGCTGTGATTTGTGAATTGGAAAGAAGACTGGCTATAAAATGGAGTTGCAAATCTTTATTTCTCTCTTTTTCCTTTCCTCAATCAGGGCTGGAAATATAAACCAAGACCTGGATGCAGAAAGTCCCACGTGTGTGACTGGGGAAGTATGGTTCGAAGGAAAAAGGTAGGAAGTACGGCTGGAAAAGATTCTATCTATATCTATATCTATTTCTTTCTATCTATCTTTCTATCTATCTATCTTTGGGGTTCTGTGACGCAGTGGTTAGAGTGTAGTACTGCAAGCTACTTCTGCAGCCAGCTGCCTACAATTTGGCAGATCATATCCCACCAGGCTCAAGGTTGACTTAGTCTTCCATCCTACTGAGGTGGGTAAAATGAGGACCCAGATTGTTGGGGACAATAGGCTGACTCTATAAACCACTTAGAGAGGGCTGGCTGTAAAGCACTATAAAATGGTATAGAAGTCTAAGTGCTAGTGCTAGTGCTGTCTGTCTGTCTGTCTGTCTGTCTAATAAATGCATATGCTGCCTATCTTGCTGTCCAAAGTGACTGTTAACCTGAGTGGGTGTGGGGGCTCACCAGTACTTTAAGGCAGTGGTGGGATTCAAATTTGTTTACCACCAGTTCTGTGGGCGTGGCTTGGTGGGCGCACTTTGCAGGTGCACAGAGGGTTTGCTACTGACCTTCTCCTGCAATCCTGCACTCTCCCTGCGTGTTAAACAGCTGACATGCAGCAATCTGCTGTGCTGTGCGAAGCAGCTAAGCTTCAAAACCAGGAAATAAAGGTCACAATAGAGCCAGGTTGGGCAGGTGAGCTCAGCAGCTGATCCTCGAAGCTACCAGTTTAACCAAACCAGGCCAAATGGGTAGAATACCACCCTTAAGGTCTCATGAAGCTCTTCTGAAAGCTCCCATTTTTCCCCCCCCAGGCTTCAGGTCAAGCAGTGAGGCCCTGATTCTAAAAATCTGGTTCTAAAAAATAAGCAAACACACTTCCTTAAGATTTTATTTTCTAAACCATGGAAATGACACACAAGTAAAAGAGAGAGAAAAATACAGGAACCTAGCATCTGTATGGATGCAGAGTCTGGATGGCCAGTTACAACGTTTGCTATAGCATATTAAGAAAATGCTTTGAAGTTGACTGTATAAATTTAATAAGTATTAAAACTCCATATCTGTTCCTCTTTCATTTTAACTAATGGAAGTCAATGTTCCTACCACCAAGAAATTTGAAGCTATTTTTGAGATTGCAGATGGAACTTTCTGCTGTGTTCTTGGCTGCTCACAGTATTCTTAGAAATCTTCTCCAACATCAAAGTTCAAAAGCATCAACCCATCCTGCTCCTTCAGAGCCCAACTTTTGCTTCCATCAATTGTTGTGGCTTGCACAATTCTGATCTTTGTAGTTGTTCCATGGCCCCTGAATATCTTTTCCAAGTCCTTCACGGCTGCTTTATCAAGTGTGAGTCTGTGGCATATTTCTTGTTTACTTGTTCCAAATGACTCCTTCTGTTTATTTTGGCTGTCTCATCCTTCCCATTCTCCCCCTCCAAATGGGTTACGGTGGGGGTTATTGATTGATGCTTGGCAGTTACCTCTGTGAATTTATGTTTTTGTTTTTCCTTCCATTCAATCATGTCCGATTCTGGGAGACGGCCTAGACAAGTTTCTGCGGTTTTCTTGTCAAGGTTTTTCAGAAGAGATTTACCTTTGCTTCCTTCCTAGGGCTGAGGGAAAGTGACTGGCCCAAAGTCCCCCAGTTGGCTTTGTGCCAAAAATGGGCCTAGAACTCACAATCTCCTGGTTTCTAGCCTGGTGCCTTATAGCCACTACACCAAATTTGCTCTCACATTTATGTACCCCTAACATAAACTCTAAAAAAGTAGGGACGCGGTGGCTCAGTGGCTAAGATGCTGAGCTTGTCGATCAGAAAGATTGGCAGTTTGGCAGTTTGAATCCCTAGCACCAGGGGTGGGATTCAAATTTTTAAGAACTGGTTGTGTGGGCGTGGCTTAGTTGGTGGGCGTGGCTTGGTGGTCATCTTATTGGCCGGGCGTGGCCAACTCAACATCACTCACATCGAGGCACACATCTCCTTGCCTGGCCTCTCATGACTGTGTGGATGCCGCAACAGTCGTAAGTGTGAAAAATGGTCATAAGTCACTTTTTTCAGTGCCATTGTAACTTTGAATGGCCACTCCACACAAGAAAAGTACCAGCAAAGGAGGGGGGAAAAAACTCCAGAGAAGTTCCTGTGGCAGGAAGTCTAGTCTTACCAAGGATGTAGTAAGGGTTAACGGAGAGGCAGTTTCTGTAAGCAACACCAGAATGTTTCCTTCCTGCCTTCCTTACAGGATTAGGCCAGTAATTTCTTCTAACAACCGGTTCTCCGAACTGCTTAGAATATTAACAGCCGGTTCTAGCGAATAGGTGTGAACTAGTAGAATCCCACCCCTGCCTAGCACCCTGTACCAGAATGAGCTCCCATTACTTGTCCCAGGTTCTGCCAACCTAGCAGTTCGAAAGCATGTAAAAATGCAAGTAGAAAAATAGGGACCACTTTAGTGGGAAGGTAACAGTGTTCTGTGTGCCTTCGGTGTTTAGTCATGCCAGCCACATGACCACGGAGACCTCTTCGGACAGTGCTGGCTCTTCGGCTTTGTAATGGAGATGAGCACCGCCCCCTAGAGCCAGAAATGAGTAGCACGTATGTGCGAGGGGAATCTTTACCTTTACTTTTTACCATGAATCCCTTAATTTGGGCTAGAGTCAGAGCAACTGGATGGAGCTGAGTGTTTACTGGCCGGATGCCCTTCCCAATGCTTATGCAGAGTTCATAGCAGGTATTTTTTGCTTTGCGTCCTAGGAGAGAGATAAACATCTGCTGCTACCCAGGTTTGAATTCTCAACCTTCTAGGAGGGAGCGAGTGTTTTCACCACTGGGCCATTATGCGGCTCTATGTACCCCTACTGACAAAACACACCAATTTGCAACAGGCAAACATTTTTCAGGCATAAGATTTTAATATTAGCCGTGGGCCTATGTAGTTATCATTTAAAAAAAACACATCCTAATACCTTTGGTTACCTCAGTTCCCAAAAGGGAACTTATGCCCAGCCTGTGTTGAAAAGCTAAGATTAAGAGTGGTTTTTTTTTTTAAAGGCACAGTTCAATAAATTTATTTTGAACTTCAGAACCCTGAAGACTTCAGAGCTTGATTATCTAAGGCAGGGGTGTCAAACTTAGGGCCTGCAGGCCAAATCCAGCCCACAGGGTGCTTAGATTTGGCATGTGAAGCCGCCCTGGCAACAGCGAGGGAGCGGCCCGCGGTGCCTCTGCCACTGAAAATGGAGCTGGCGAGGGCCACGAACGGCCCTACTGAGCTCAGTTTTTTCTGACGGAGGGTTGCAGGAGGCCATTGCAGCCGAAAAAAAAGCTCTGGAGCGCTTGGGCCACCACAGGTGCCCCAGACACAAATGACGTTGAGCTGGCCATGCCCCCTGGCCACGCCGCACCCCGAGGTCAAACATAACTCTGATGCAGCCCTCAAATGAGATCGAGTTTACACCCCTGATCTAAGGCACTATATCCCCGCTTACATTGGTCCAAACACCAACATTTGCAGGACAAAGTCTCTTAAAGATGCCAGTGCTACTTTCAGAAGCCTGATTGTCAACTACCTTGTTCTGTGTTGTTCCCAACTTGAAAACCTTTCCCTAGGGAATTTTATTTGGTGGCCAGCCCATCCACCTTTAGAAAAAGAATTAAGGCACATATTTTTAACCTGGCCTAAATTGAGTACCTATGTGTTATTTTTAAATTATTTTGATTTATTGAATTCTTTTAAACTTAATAAGTTTTAATTGCATTTGTAGTTATGCTGTGCTGTAGCTGCATGGATTGTCCAGTAACAGCAGGATGATGAGTTTTAAAGGCAATGAACTGCAAATAAATACATTAAATTAGAGGTTCTTTACTTGTGATAAATTATATGATTCCAGAATTTACACCTGGTTTAGAGCTAATTAAAAAGAAAGCAAATTAGGCCAGGAGTGAGAAACTGTTGTTCATCATCAATTATCAATTATTTTGACCAGACTAGTGTCATCCAATTAAATAAACAAATACACTTGATCTGGGGAAGACCACTATTTCCATAGTCCTCCCTTTTAAACAATCACAAAGGAGAAAAGAAGACAAACAGGATTATCATTACAGAAAGGTTAGTCCATACTGGCTGGGAAATTCCATCCAGAGTTTTGCAGTGTTAATTCAGCGGCAGAAAAATAAACAAAGATGGCTGATGCTTCATTTAACGTCTTTATAAACATAATAAGTAGATTTTACAAACCAGTTGTAGATTTCTCCAACATGGAGCAAACTCAAACAGAAACAGTTACTTCAGTAGCTCAGAAACAGACATCAGTTTCACTTTAGTTCAGCAGACAAGCAAGAGGAGAGTAGCAGTTTCATTTTCAATAGACAGACTCAGAGCTTAACATAGCTTCAGAGCTGAAAAGCTTAATATAGACCCACACCTAGACTACTTCTAGTTTCAGTTTCCAGCCTAGGTTATATCTAGTTTCAGTTTCCAAACTGTCCTCATTGGATGACTTAGTTGCTATGCCTATTCATTAGATGACCTTGTTACCATGCTCTGTTCCCATTCATGAATATGACAAATTCTGGGAGTTGAAATCCATACGTCTTAAAGTTGTCCAGGCTGAGAAGCACTGGTTTGGATGCCGAGTTCGAAATAAATGGAGGACACCTGGACAAGGAAAGGAAAATAGGAAAAGGAAGTCCAAATGAAATACCCGTCTCTGGGGTGTAATGCAATTAATGTACTTACACCCTTCAGAATTTGGACTGCCTTAGCAATGGTTCCTGCTCTGTAATGGCAAATATGCATGGTTGGTATCCTATCCAGTAGGGCAGTATGTCTATAGAGATTCTCAGTCATCCAAGTTCTGGTTGTCCCAAAGGTGCTTTTTTTCTTTCCTAGAGGCAAACTGGACTTTCTGGTTTTTCTTTGAAGACGTTTTGCTTCTCATCCAAAAAGCTGCTTCAGCTTTGACTGGATAGTGGGGGAAGTCAGAGCTGAAGAAGCTTCCTGGATGAGAAGCAAAACGTCTTCAAAGAAAAACCAGAAAGTCCAG